TTGGCCGACCAAGGCGGAGGAGAAGAAATAATTACAAAATGACTCGAAAAAACTACAGGCTATCCCAAATTTTCGAAAATTTACATTTCCGTTTGCATTTCGCATTCGCCGAGAGTTATAATTAATAATTCTAATGTATATTTAGCATCTTCTGGTGTTCCCAAGGGGTCCACCTCTCTCCATTACTATTTTCTCCGTTTGTCAACAGTGTCCACAGTTTTTCTACGGTATTGCCGCTTTCTCTGCTTTGCTGACGACAATAAGCTTAATGCACGTATCCGTTCGATTACTGCATGAAGTTACAAAATGACTTTATCAGGTTTTCTGAATGGTTTGGAAAATTAGGACTGTCTCTAAATTTCAACTGTAAGGATCCTCTGAGAACTACAACAACTACTGTTCCTTTCCTTATTCTCCGCTGTACCACTGACAATCCACGGAACGAGCCAGTTAGGTGATTAATTTCACCTTGCGTGTCTATCGCCAATGCGGACCCGTTCTTTTTATAACTAATATTAACGTTTTTGTCCAATATGATTGTAATTAAACACTCCGTTGTCGTACTTGTTGTATATTCTTGTCACTAGTGTCTAAACGCGTCCGCCCGTTTATTTATTTAAATAATAAAATAAAATAAAAAATTATCGGAAAAACAATTAAATTAAAAAATGTATTTTAACCGGGGCGCTCGACGCAGTGAAACCTTCCCCGTTGTGTGCGCCTGCAGTGATCGGCTTGTTAAAAGCAAAATAAAACATGTTATATAAATATTCTTAAACTATGACAAAGCGGTTAATTTATAACTAGGCTCAAATATAAGGGACGTAAAAGGACTCATCCTCTTATACTTTTGATTACACTTAAAAAGAGTTCTCTTTTTAAGAGATTTAAAGCATTTTTAAAGGTGCTTTTTATAAGAGAGGTACCGGGAACCAGTGGCGTATGCAGGCATTTTTTTTTTTAGGGGGGGGGCGGTGACCAATTTCATACCACATTATAGAAAAAATATAATTGCCAATTGAGAAAAAAAAAACAATTTTTCCTGAAATTTTGAGAGGGGGGAATGTTGCTGACCCGTCAATCACTTTTGGTTACACTATAAATAGTGGACACCGAATGGATATTCACTTAAATTTGCGTTGCCTTTTTAACGTAATGTTATATTCAGATTCTACATAGTTTAGGACATACAATTTTAACACTGCATGGAACGTTCGAAATAGGTATATAATAACTAGAAACCTCGGTAGGTAACATTTTGTCATTTTGCGCCGCTTTAAGCCCCGCATGCAATTTAATATTAACGATAGTACGTACCGTATTGTATAATTTATTTCGTTCAATCGAATCGGATATTGCTAGGATATTATGGACGAAAAAAACCATCGCGGCGGATCGCACGAAATCCCCGGAGGACTGGCCGGGGCAATTTTTGGCGTCCTTCCAACGTCCGGTCCGGGGATGAAATTTAATAAACGGCGATGGTAATATAATAATAATAGTTTAGCATTTAGTAAAATACTGTGGCGGTATTGTTGTGATATAGTGACTACTGGTTTTTTGATTTATTATTAGCGGAGTCGGTGTGTCGGCAGTATTACGAGATTTATTATTTATACCACGACACATAAAAAACAATAACAAAAATGAGTAACAGTGCAGTTTCAGTTTTGTTTTCGCCATAAAAAAAAAAAAAAAAATCGGCTTCCGCTGCGTAATATGCTATCATTCCGCGAATTTACATTATTATTTTGAGAGTGACAGAAAGGAAACTCGTTCGAAATACCCTGCTGATGTCGTTTGCTTAATTACAGAAAACGGCACTAGACACGAGACGCGCACGACGACACTCGATTGAGGTACGCCTGCAGCTACGTCTCGGATAATTTGTCCGAGGCCGTTTTGAATTTGAACAACGCGATGTCGTCGCTCCTCTATAGTCTATACAACACTACAACTACCGGGAAAAATGGAAAAATAAAAAGCAAAGAAAAATCACGTAAATTCCCTTATTGACGTCGGCCAAAACTTGCGCACGGTGTTAAAGATCGCGTGCGCCATCTGCTCTGTACAATTCCGAAATCATTCGTGCAATTGCGGGGTAAATATCACGGGGGTAAATAAGTATTGACTTATTGGAAATACGATAATTTACCGAACTCGTCTCCTCAAACACGATCATTTTCTCATTGTACCCCATGAATTCATACGTAAAAAAAAAAAAAAAAAACATTTTAGATTTTAAACGCAACTGTATCACTTTTACTGTGACGTGTTTTTATTTTTTTGATTTTTGTACCAGAAATCTCGCTCCAGCTAAAAAACGATAATAGATCTTTTTTTATAGGATTTTGGAACTTAATGATGAATTGAGGCGATAATTTTTTGATTTTCTTATAAAAACCGGGAAATTAGGTATATGAAAATAAAAATTTCATTAATTTCCATTTTTCTTTCTTTATTTTTTTTTTTTTTTTTAATTTGGTTAAGAAAAAAAAAACGTAGAGCCCTGAATTTTCCACAGAATACTTATGTAAGCTTTTTCTAGTAGTAGTACAATTTTCGATAAATTCGAACGGTTTTTGAGCTATTTGTCGTAGACATAATTATATTTCATAGACAAACAAAGGTTATCAGATCAGATTATAACATTTTCAAGTTTTTACTTTTCGTTTAGTTTTGTGTGGATAAAATTGTTTTGGCAGAAATCAGCCAAAACGTAAGTTTTACACGAGGTTCATCATAGTTTGTACTTTGTTGAAAAAAAAAAAATGTTTAGCGTAATGAAGTTGGTAATTGATTTTATATAAAAGTTTTAAGAACAAATTTTCAGGAAAATCCTAACAATTACGACGTTTTTAGACATATACAACCGAACTTCACTTAAAATCGTATTTATCCCCCCTTTTTTTTAAATAATTAGGTCTCCCAGAATAATTGGAGATTAGCTCATGGCCACTAATTTCATTAATCTGCAGCAGGCACTGGTACGGCGGTGAGAAGTAACGTAGAAAACGATTGCCACGCGAGCGGAACGAGAGACGATTTAAAACTTTCAATTACGAGCCAAGTGTAATCCCTGAGTTTTATATACAGGGCAGCGGTAGCGTACACAAAAAATCCGACACTTTCATAGGTATTTATATTGCACATAGTCGTAGTTCTATATATGACATTGGACCGTCAGGTAATATTGTGTTGGCAGGTCTGGGAACAAAACGGAAAAAAAAAAAAAAACGTATGTCGTAGAATACATTTTGGGGGAACCCGAACCGGTAAACGAGAAGTTAATCACACGTTCACATTCGGACGTTATTTTTATATGTAGAAACGTCAGTAAATATGTCGTTACGAGACATGAAAAACATAACGAAAATCTATGCTTATACTTCACACGGTTATAGTTACTACTTACTATCATGACAGTGTCGCCGTATTATCACGACAGTTAAATAGCACAATGCTATTCGATTGCACTCGTGTATACTGGTAAACGAACTTGTGGATAATTCAGCGATCCCTTGTCTATACAAATTTTACTCCGTGCCCTTGTTCGTTCTAATTTCGAATATTGTCCGTTAATTTGGATAAATAATACTCCTAAGCAAATTGAATCAGTTCAGAATAACTTTCTATGATTTATCTCCTTTAATTTTAATATGTATAGGACTTTCCATGATTCGTACGAACTAGTGTTAAAATGTAATGAAAATCTCACTCCACTTCAAATAGACGCATTGTATTATTGTCTACATTTTTACATAATTTACCTATAAGGATCATCGATGGTCAAGAGCTCCATTCCCTTATTTGTTTTAAAACAAACTTCCATAACACTAGAAATAGTGATATATTCTGTCCCATCCCTTGTACAACAAATGATAAGAAAAAAAATGTCCCTCTTATATCTTAATGGCTGCGGGTAGTTCTATTCCTTTTGATTATGCCTATCACGTTTCAATTTTACATCTTCCTAGTTGTTAATTATCCATAAGTTTCTCTTTATTTTAGATTCTGAGTAGAGCAAAGAAGCTAAGAGCAAAGTTTTACAAAGATTTTTAATTTTTATTTTCTGTGGAAAATTTTTCTACCAGAAATTTCGCTAATAGGAAATTTCACTGGAGAGGTACTTTAAAAGGGTCGTTTTTCGATTTTCTAAAGCGCTTTCTACAACAAATTTGAAAAACTGAAAAAAACCGAGGAAAAACGGGATCCATTTTAGTTATGGAATTGAAATAGTTGGAATTTTACTATATATTGTTGACAAAGCAGCACTCTGCTCAGAATCGTTTTTTCGTTAGCAGTGGTTTATTGTTGCTTATAGGCGTACATTAAATTGCTTATAACTGTAGCTCCATTCGACTCTAGTGTTCTAGAATGTCTTTTTTATCTTTACTTTTGCAATTGTAATATGTATCTTAGCTCCTAAATCTGTTATGTTCATGTCATTTTACTGTATATCTGTGTTCACATACCACGTATAATTTTTACTGAATGATTAATATTATGATAATGTCTTATGTTTTTTATCTACGTCAACGCCGCGGTTCTTTTGCACAAAATATCCTATGTACTTAAAACTCTCAACCTCGCCTATTACGTTATCGCTTACGGTTATTAGCTGTCTTGCTCTGAAAATCTCTCGCCCGTTCCTTAAACGCATAACTCTATATAACACAACGACATTTTATTTTATTATTTTTTTTCCTTACAGCGTATATTGAAGACGAGACAATTTATCCAAGCCTTGTTTAGGACTCCTCAAACAATTTGACAAAACGGGGCGTACACCCACTATCGACCCGTGATCAACCGCATTCGTCACTTCTCATAACAGATAGAGGTTCCGTAGCTGCTGTATTTTGATCACCTCCCGCGGGGACGAACGATACGTGACGATAACACGAAAATAATGATGTTCTACAGCATATTGTGTACAATACCGGGTACGGTCGACCAGCGCGATATCACCGGACACGTTTAGTCGGACGGAAAACGCCATGACGGTACGTTTTAAATAATCGCAGTTCGCGAATTCCGCGACCGCCGCGGTCCGGTAATAACCGTCACATAGGCATTATTTAACCGATGCCGTGTACAATAATATTGTTATAATAATTCGCGGTAGGCCGGACAGATACGTCCGAAAACCATTATTACATCCGCGATGTGCACACGCCTCGTTAATTACCGGACGGTCGCCGTCGTCGGCCACGCGACGCTTTCAAAACTCATTAACTCTCGCCGATCTTGTCCCCGGAATAATTCGTAAAACGGCCGTGAGTCGCGGCAAATCCACGACCGTGCGACACTTTACATGCCCGATCGATAATAATATCCACATACGGTAACAGCTGCAGTTCGACGGCTGTAAACGTCAATCGGTGTAAAATTTCGAACAGCTTATCGTATTAAACATTATTATATCTCATTTAAAACGAAAGCGGAAACCGACCGATTGACCGATAAATGATCGACTTATGTTGGTTCATTGTCCGGGTGGTGTACAAAAACCTTAGGCTTAAAATTTAATCTTGTTAATTGCCGGGTCAATGTCCTTCTTCCGGTCTCGTAGTCCAATTCTGCGGACTGTATAGTGGACCTGAGCTTCAAATTATCAAGTGACACCTCAATCCGAGTGAACGCATTTCAATAATATGCCGTAAATCTTTAAAATTTTAGGTTTTACAAGGCGATTTACAAGGCAAACTTTCTAGATCACTTAACTCCTTGTACTGCGCTCTAGTCCGTTCCATTTTACAATACGGATCGGTAGTCTGGGAGATCCTTATACGGCCGCCGGTTCAAACCAACTTGAACGCGTACAGCGTAAATTTTTGTGCTTTGTTGGCTTCTCTTCAGGTATCCCTCATGAACCTTACGATTACTCTCCTGTTGCTGAAGCATTTTGGCTACATACCCTCGCTGACCGTAGACGTGAGCTTAGCTCTTAGTTCTTCAATGATTTTCTACTCAACAAGATCGATTCTCCCACTGTACTGTCCTTGGTAAATTTTAAATTTCCTTCTCGTTCTACACGTTAGCTTTCCATATTCCCCGAGCAACCACAAATTACCTACAATACCAACCAAACCACTTGGGCGTCTAATTAATAGTGCCAATAATGAGCCGTTTTTTAGATTTTTACTCATAACTGCTTATTTCTTTACTCGCAGTTTTATAATCGGAAGTCATAGTTGTCTGTTATTGATTAATATTGTTTACTCGCTACTACTGTATCGTGTTTACTAGTCTATTTTTTTGATTCATGTTTATCTTATTAAGTTTACTTTATTACATACTTTACTGTATGCATTGTTACAAGTTATATCGACAACAAAAAAGATTTCCCGTATATATATATATAATAAAAAATATTAAAAAAATAAATTAATCTATCTTTATAATTCAACAGTAATAATATATATCGACCAACTTCGATTTTTATATTTTGTAAAAATAAAAAAAAAAACTCGTATAATAATATACCTATAGTATTCTGGATTTAATTAAGTATTTTATTTTATTTTATTTAACAAGTATAATTAAACCTACCGGGAATTAAGGAATTAAAAACTTTTCTCGTTAGGTGCGCGCGGAAATAGCATTTAATTTTCATCGGTTAATCAAAAAATAAAAAAAGAACTCCAACCGCAAGTGAGGGTTTTATTTTAATCGATCTGAATAAAATATGTTCTCGTTTTAATCAAGTTATTAATTTTCGATAAATTTTCTTCCATGAGTATACGCGGTGATGCATTTGACGTAAAATGCTCATCATTTCACAAAGTACTTACTTTTTCGAAACAATCGATTTTTTTGAAATCTAATAAACAAGCGCTTTTAAAATATTACATTATAATTATTTTTTTCACCCTTATTTTTATGGTATATTACTTTCCTCTACATAGACCTAAACATGGAATATATCGTAAACGAATCAACGTTAATCAATAATTCCAACACCAAAATGTATATAAACTAATACTACGTCGATTTATATATATATATAAAAAAAAAAATGTAATGTAGGTTGCCATTTTAAAATCAAAAGTAGTTAGATAATATTCTCACCTACGACAATAAGGGAGATAGAAAATAATGTAAGTGAAACATTTTAGAGCTGTTGATTCATAAATTGTCAAAACGTTTATTTTATTATTATTATTATTATTTTTTTTTTTTTTGAAAAAAGACAACACTTTGTGGAATAATTAATGTTTTATTTTTATGGAATCACCTTGTGTATATGTTTGTTTTTGTTATTTTATTTTTGTTTTTTTTGACATTTAATTACCTTTAAATCAAAAACTCTGTCTATATACACGCGTAAAAACAATCGATAAGGCACAAGTGCATAAATACGACCCACACGCGGGCAAATAAATAGTAATAACATGTTCTACAAACTGTATTATTGCAGCCGACAATGAAAGCGCATAGAATTTCGACGGGTCGGTGTACCAAAGTTGTTATACTAAACGTGCGCGCGGTTATTTGTATTTGTTTAATAAATTATATTAGCCGAGCGCTTTTCAAAAGGCTGGGTTTACGTTCAAAAGTACGACGTGGGCCGTCGCAGTACGTAGACATTTATAATAATAATTGAGTATTATTTCAAATAACAATACTGTACGTTGTACAGGGCGATCCGTTTTGTCACCGGCAGGCGGTTCTCTCGGAGGGTTTTAAGTGAATTTGATTTCCGAGTTTTTTTTTTTCTTTTCCGAGCATATCGATTCGTTTGAGCCTTATTTTAACAAATTTTTTTAATTGTGTTCAATAATTTCCAATCGTTTATTAGCACGCTTTGTACTACCTTTTAAATTGGTATACGCGTTTTTGATGTTCGAATAGAAACCGGCCCCCTCTCTTTTTGACACCGATTATTCGAATGGTGAATTTCTTCCGAACATTTCGATAGGTACGAACATAATACTACAATGGGCCTTGTCGTTCATGAGTTATTAAAGTTCAACCGGAGTAATATGCGTAATAGGAAAGGTAATAAACTTCATTAATATTTTTAGATGATATATTGATGACGTTCCCCAATGAATGATTGAATAACAATAGAGACATCATCAATACAAACATCCGAGACAATCACTGCTTCGTGATAAATGGATCACCCCGTGTGTGTATAGACCCCGTGTGTCCAAACAATATGAATAGGTACTACCAAGTAGGCACCGAGAATAATAATATTAATATAGCCAATTGTTTTTAAGAAAGTAGAAAATAGATTAGTAATAGTACGTAACGCGTTATACGTGTACGCACAGTTATTTACGCCAAATCTATACACAATTCCATAGTTACTATAGCGATAGATGCAAAACACGACACCGTGATAGTTACGCCTATGTACAAAAATAACAATAATAATAATAAATATTTCTTTTTTATACTCGGAAAGCCAGAATGTAAATAATGGATAGTATACAGTTTTCAGAAAAAATGGTAAGAAACCGTAGCCACATCGTTCTGCACAAACACCGACGTTAAGAAAAAAAAATGTCGAATTGAAAATACAGTTACACCAACAACGCAAAAAAAAAAATATCGTTTTGAATTCCACATCTACTGGCTGTCCCGCGCCCGGTGTTGTCCGCGCTCATTTTGATTATTATTATTTTGTCCATATTCATTTTTGGTTTTGGCCCCGTCGGAATTGAATGAACATAAATAGGTGAAAAGTGGGTAGTCCACCTTCGGCGGACTAAATATGTTCTATTGTGAAATTTCGATCGTGTAAATAACAGTTACAATAATAATTACAATAGTTTTATTTTCCGTGGCAACCGAATAATCATCCGTGACATCAAGGTAACCCCTGAATGAACAATAATAAATAAATAAGCCTACGTCATAATAGCTTTCTGTGCGCCAAATTTCAGCTCGGTCCGTCTAGTGGTTTGGGCTAGGCGATGATGAATCAGTCAGTTAGTCGATCAGTCGGGACATTTTATTTTACATATATGGATGATAACCTGACGTGTGCAAAACCACGTCGGGTAAGTAGCAGGGAAAATTGAAAAAGCATTTTAGGTGGAACTAGAGACGCATCGTGGTCACTCGATGCGCTAACTCGGACAATTTTAATCGAAAACAACCCTCGATTTGTTGTGCAAAACCACATCGGGTAGGTAACAAGGAAAAGCGAAAAGCTTTAAAGGTGGAAGTACATTTAAATGGTATAACGCTTTCACTTATTTATGGATAGCCGTATTGGTATTAGGTACTTATCGTAAAAACATGGTTAGGGAAAAATACGAAATACCGAAATATGGTACTGTAATACTTTAGGAGGAATCGGTTGATAGTTATGAATGAACCGTACAATAATTTTAAAAAAAAATTGTTTAGATTGGCAACATTAAAATAGATGGAAAAGACTGGCCTCTTATAAATTTTCTGAAAACTGCAACCCTCCGGTAAATTATAGCATTCAGATTAAAATTGAAGTCAAAACACCAATAAGACTAATTTAAAGTAGAGAATATTTTAGACTCTGAATGGAGCGAAGAAGCTTACGATTTGCAAAGCTGTATATATATTTTTTTTTTTAATGGACAACTTATCTACCTGGAATTTTGCTCCGGTTTACAACGATAGCACTTTTTTTAAAAGGAAATTTTACTGGGGAGGTACTTTAAATAGGTAATTTCTCATCAAATATAAAAAACCAAAAAAAAAGGAAGAACAACGGGAAAATGTAAGAAATTTAGGTATTAGTTAAAAATATTACGGCCTTCTTTATTCTTGTGAACAACTTTTCTACCAGCAATTTAACCCCCCGTTCATAATCATAGCCCTTTTCCTGGAAAAAAATCTCATTGAAAATTTACATTAGTGAGGTCATTTTAGATTTTTACAGGATTTTTCCTAACAAATGTAAACATCCGGGAAAAAGCACGGAAAATCTGAGTAAACGTAGGAAAAACGGGGAAATTTGTATATTAAAAAAATATTATTAAAGATAATATATAATGATTATTTAATGTTTTAATTATAATATGACATATATATTGTTAACAAAGCATCACCGTCAACTGGATTCCGCTCAGAATTGTTTTTATTTTTGTTAGAAATGGTTCATCGTTGCTTACATGTTTGCATCAAATTACCTATAACAGTGACTGCACCCGTCCCTATTATCCTAAGACGTTTTTTTTTTTAAGAGCTGTATACGTAGTTTATTCGTGAAAAACTGTCATAGAAAATAATTGCAACCAATATGATTTTTATCGATTGTTAACAACAATTGAACAAAATTGATACGAACAAAAAATTATTTTTAAAGATAATCATAAAACAATACATACGTTATAATAGAAATTTTAATTTTTTTTAAAAATATTTTTAAAAAAAAATCAAATTGTTCAATCTACTTTAGTCGTAGGTATTTAACACTCTTGATTTTTGATGGTAAATATATATATATATATACATATATGTAATTTTAATTTCTAAGCGGGATATGAGCGTGTGCGAAATTATGATTTAAACGTGTACATATCTCGCCTAAAAATCGAAATAACGGAAAAAAACGAAAAGATACAGATAATGTTCTTGTCTCGGTAATAGGTCAATTCACTCTAACGTTTCAACTAACAGCACAGAAATACTGAATTTTCCCGTCTGAAAGAAAATGTATTCGCAAAATTCAACGGAATTTCTAAGAACGATTTTCTTAAAACGAATTACGCATATACCCATACATGTATAGGTACTTAACTCACTGTTTTTACGCCGTAAGTACAGTTCGAAATACAAAATTCGAGTAAAAATTCAACATAAACTTCGGGAAAGTAAACACGTTTATATAAAAGTAAGATAAGTGTTATTTTAAACGTTTTTTTGTTGATTCCATTTCACGCCTACGTTTAAAATGTTAAAATAATCAATAAATGTATATTATTATGTGTATATAGAAAAGTGAACAGGATAAACAAAGGACTTTAGTATAGTAATATATTGAATTCCCACAAAATCCGTGTATCGAAAAA